AGCGGCCGAGAACTTGGAGAGGGTACAGGTGAGTGACGTGCTGTGCTCGGCCCTCGGGCTTCACCGGGTCCTTGAGCCAGGCCATGCGACCTAACCCCCCGTGTGAGGGGCAATAGCAGCATCTTCCTGATACTAATCATGGAAGGACCTGTGTGAGACCGTAATCCGGCGAGGCCAAGGCCTCCAGGAGAGGCAGCGGCTGCTACATACAGCCCCTTCCCAGTCTCTAACCCCGGCCCTCTGCCCTCTCGTTGGTCTCCACTCCCAGCAAAACCCAACGGAGGGGCCCTGCGTCTGTCCATCTCGACTGGAGCAGACGGCCGGGCTCCTCATTCTCAGGCGAAGCTTGGCTGGTGGGTGGGTTTGAGGTTAGCCCTCCAACTCGTATCTGACAGCGTCATCGGCCCCTCATTCCGGAGAGACTGGTCCATACGCCAGGAGTGGAAGCGTCCCAAATGGGCAGATGGGCTCGGGCCTTGGTGCCCTGCCCTTGACGTGCCCGCTCCCCACCTGCTCCCCTGCAGGTGCTGCAACACCTGCGAGGACGTGCGTGAGGCCTATCGGCGCCGAGGCTGGGCCTTCAAGAACCCAGACACCATCGAGCAGTGCCGGCGAGAGGGCTTCAGCCAGAAGATGCAGGAGCAAAAGAACGAAGGCTGCCAGGTGTATGGCTTCCTGGAAGTCAACAAGGTACAGAGAGCTGAACAGGGGAGGGCAAGCTGGGCAGGGGGAGCTCCACGGTGAAGACAGGGCAGGGGAGGGGAAGAGAAGGCATGGCTGGAGAGTGAGAAGACCCCCCTCCACAGGTGGCTGGGAACTTCCACTTTGCTCCTGGGAAGAGCTTCCAGCAGTCTCATGTGCACGGTGAGTGCCGCCAGCCGGCCCGGGGAGGGATCGTGCCACGAGGAGTTAGAGGCCCCTTCACTGCCCGTGGGAGTCTCATTCACTCCTGGCTGTGGGCCTTTGAGAGTTGTCTCCTGTCTTTGAGCTGCTGTGTCGAACAATGTGAAATGACTGGGATGGGGCTCGGCTCAGGGTGGGACTTGAGGCACCACATGGGCTGACTTAATCCCAAGCCTGGTAAGGGAGGCCTCCAACATCAGGGTTTGGGGGAGTGGGGCGCTTTGGGAGAAGCAGGGCCGTGTAGAATGGGGGTGATGGAACCTCGCAGGCTTGTCGGGGTGAATCAGGTTTATTCGCATCCATTCACTAGATAATTGGCAATCACCTCCTCTGGATCAGGGGCTGGTCTAGGTGCTAAGGGTACAACAGTGAATGCCCCCAAAAAGGCCCTGTCCTGAAGAATAGTGAAGTAGACTTAAGCAAACGTGTAAAATGTGTGGTCTATCAGTTAGTGATCAGTCACACGGACAGGATAAAGGTGGTGGTGGCAAGGGCTGGGATGGGAGGGGGTGCTGGGGGGGTGGTCAGGAAAAGGCTCACTGAGGAAAGCAAGGGTGTCAGCCAGGTGGATGCCTGGAAGGGCGGGTTCCAAGCTGAGAAAGAACAAGTACAGATTCCTGAGACAGGAACGTGCTCAGCAAGCCCTAGGAACAGCAAGAAAGTCCAGGTGGCTGGAACAGGAGAGTGGCTGGAAAGGAGGGGGAGAGGTAACAACCATGTCACACGGGGCCTGAAAGGCCCCTCCAGGGGCTTGGGCTTTCCTCTGCGTGAGAGGACAGGGCTTGGAGTGGCACCTGATCTGACTTAAATTCACTTTTGAATGCATCCCATCACTCTGACTGCCCTGTGGGAAGGACGGAGGCTGGGAATCAGAGACTGCGTTTAGGAGGCTCTTGCAGGCCAAAAGCGATGGGGGCTCGGACCAGACTGGTGGGCGAGGTGGCGTGCAGTGACTGGGGTCCTGGGCTCCTTTTGAACGTCGCGCCTAGAGGACCTGCTAGTGGATGTGAACAGGGTAAGGAAATGAAGAGTCGAGTGGAAATGATGGGGGAAGATTGTATTTATTGGTAATGACCTTGCTGAGGTCATGGAGGAGGAGTGTACAAGAGCCCGTCATTGTTTGAAGGGGCTGCCAGGGTGGTGACTACCAAAGAGTAGAGAACTGATGCCTTTGCATGAAGGGGCTGGGGAAGGTTATTGACTGTTCATGGAATGCCAGAAGGACAGAAAAGTGTGTATTGGATGACGCACAGCCAGACTTCCTTAGAAGTGAGGGTAGTGACACTTTGTTTCACACCTTGCACGTGTGATCAAGGGCCAAGTCCCCGAGGAAGACATCAAGACATCGTGCTTGGTCAACTAGAGCCATGGTTCTCAACCTTCCTAATGTCATGACCCTTTCATACAGTTCCTCATGTAGTGGTGACCCCAACTTTATTTTCATTGCTTCTTCATCACTGTCATTTTGCTACTGTCATGAATCGGGCAACCCCTGTGAAAGGGTCATTCGACCCTCAGGTTGAGAACTGCTGGTGTAGAGGTTGAAGATGTAGAGGCTCGACTGGAGTCTGAGTAAGAGGGTCAGGAGCCGGGCCATCTTAGAAGATGCACAGGGTTGCACGATGAGAGAGAGTCCAGGGCCTGAGACGTGCTGGCCGTCCTGGGCTGCCCAGTGACGAAGATCAGCGTAAAGGTCTGATCAAGTTCACCCTGCTGATCTTTAAGGAGGTTTGTGGGGGTGAGGCTGAGTGTTGGGGAGCAGACGGGTATGTCGAGAACCCTGCTGACCTGTGGTGGTCCCTCAGTACTCCGAGGGGACCAGTGGAAGGGCGGTCTCCCGGGCACTGGGCTTGTAGGCACACAGCAGAGTGCAGGACTTGGGAACTGGTCTGTTCATTGGCAGAGGAAGGTTAGGCAGGAGGTCAGACACAATCTTGTATTGCAAAGTGTGCCACGAACCTGCCTATCTCCGGAGCACTCTTGCAGAGAACACTGACATAGGGAGGACCAGTGATTTTCCAAAGGTCACAAGGCCAGGAAAGGGGCTCCAGGAGCCTAGGTCCTTTTGTCCTTCTTAGGCCACCACCCTTCTGCCCACCCCAGGCCCTCCTGGACTGTCCCCGGGCCAAGGAAGGGTTCCTCTGAGGAAGGTGCCAGATCCTCTGTCAAGGTGGAAGTGTTCCAGCCCCTCGGAGCCTGGGGCTCCCAGCTGCCAGGCCTGGAGAACGGGGTGGTGGGTGGTCGTGAGGTGAGGTGTTGAGGTGGCTGGAGCTCCAGGCTAAGGGCCAGATCGAGCCAAACCCTGTGCCCTCCAGACCCTGCTGCCCAGCCCTGTGTCCCACCTCAAATCCTGCTCTGTGGTTCTCATTGTGAAGTTTGATTCTGTTTTGCCCTCCTCCCTTCTCTCTCCTTCCCTCCCCCATGCTGCAGTACATGCTGTGGAGAGTAAGTGGTCCTGTCCCCCAGAGGGAGCCAAACCCCACTTCTTGGGCAACCTCCAGGAGGTGGGGGGGAGGTTGGTTTGGATGGGTCAGGGATGGGGTCCTTCTCTGGCCTTGCTGTCAGGGGACTATAAACAACTCTGGGACATGTCCTTGTGGGAGGAAGGACTGGGATTCGAGGGCAGGAGGAAGTTGTCCGGTGCTACAGGGTGCCCCTGGGATTTCCTCTGGGGCCCCTGAGAGGGCACAGAGGACTCAGAGAAGAATGTGAACAGCAGGCCCAGCCCCCCATCTCTTTTGGGGTCTGTGATGGACCATGAGCTGTGTTTAATGGGAAACCAAAGTCAGAGGGTCTGGGGTCCTGAAGTGCACACGGGCTTGCAGAGCGTGAGGGCTGGGTGCATGCCACCAACGGGCCCCCTTGATGGAGCTTCGCCGGCACAGTGGCTTAGGCAGAGGGCTGCTGACTGCCAGGTTGGTGGTTCAAATCCACAAGCTGCTCCAAGGGAGAAAGACAAGGCTGTCTGCTCCTGTCCAGATGTACAGCTTTGGAAACCAGCATAGGGCTTTGTGAGTCGGAACTGACTCAAGGCTGGTGGGTTTGGGTTGGGTCTATGCAGCCCTGAGGTGGGTGCAAACTCGCACGCCCATCAGAAGCCGAGTGGTTCTGGCTGCCCTCAGGTAGGGCCAGGTGGGGTGAGCTGGAAGCTGAGCCTCCCCTGACGAGCGTCGTCTTCTCTCCTAGTCCACGACCTGCAGAGCTTTGGCCTTGACAACGTACGTACCAGTGGGAACTGTGGTAGGCAGGGGGTATGGGGGTGGCTTGGGTGCTGCCTTCGGGATGTGGGGAGCAGGTGAAAATGCGCCCTATTCTGATGGGACCCCATCTAAGGGTGAACAGCTGGGGGTGACTGAGGTCTAAATAGGAGTTAACTAGGCTGGGAGGAGTGGGTGGGACTGACAAGCTCCTCCCTGGCAGGAGGGGTCCTCGGGCATGGAACCAGGAGAGGAAGAGGTGGGGGCTGGGGGCAGAAGGTGAGGCTGGAGGCCCCGTGGAGGGAGGACTCAGGGAACCCATAGAGTGGGCGTCTGCTCTTTTTCCTACGAGCAGTGGAAAGCTGTTGTCATCTTTTATTCAGGGTTGTAGGATATTTAGATCCGCATTTTAAAAAGATCTCTCTAGTAGCTCAGTTGATAGCAATTGGCACAGGACAGGAGCGGGAGGGGGCAGTCCTGGGCCTTGCCAGGCCAAGATAGCACCGGCTATGCAGGGGGGAGGGGGGCTGGCTGTGTTGGCTAATGTGGGCATGATGCCAGCACTTGAGTAAGTAAACTGGCAGCCCAGGAACCTGCAGACTCTAAGGAGGTTCCGCGTGCAACTGTCTTGGGCAGGATTTCCCCTCGGGGATCAAAGCTTCTCTTAGACAGGGCCCCACGTTTCCTCCCCCTTCCATCTCCGTCCACCCTCTGTCCAGACCCAGGCTGGCGGCTCCTCTCATCCAGGCTTTTGGATGGCGTGGGGACTGGTCGGGCCCGAGTGCTCTCAAGTTCAGGCTCTGGTGTTCCCTGCAGATCAACATGACCCACTACATCCGCCACCTGTCATTCGGAGAGGACTACCCGGGCATCGTTAACCCCCTGGACCACACCAATGTCACTGCACCCCAAGGTACCTGGGAGGCTGGGTCAAGTGGGTTCAGGGACTCCAGCTACAAAGTCCCATCTGGCACCCATGCCTGGTGCTATCTTCTCCCCACAGCCTCCATGATGTTCCAGTACTTTGTGAAGGTGGTACCCACAGTGTACATGAAGGTGGATGGGGAGGTGAGTCTGAGGGAAGGGAAGATAGACAAACCACCAAGGCTGAGAGAGGGTCAGTGGTTTCCTTAAGGTTCAGATCTGGTTCTGTCCGATTTCAAAGCACAAGCTCTGTCCACATACCCAAGCTGCCTCCATTCCTCCAGCGTCCACTCCACTGTCCCTCCATGGCGATAGGCCCTGGGTCAGCCTGGCATAGCCCTTCCTGGGCCTCCTCCCTTTCTGCGCCAGCCTGCGGGGTGGGGGGGGGGACGACGACTCGGCCCCAGCCTTGCCAGGGGCTCATGGTGAGCCACCAAGTGTCATCCCTGGACCCCAAGTCTCATCTAGGGCATGGCACCACTGATGGGGCTAGCTGTGTAGCTGGGATGGGTGAGCTGGAAAATGCTGGGGGAGAAGTGGGCTGGCAAGCCTAGGAGTGGGGTCTGGGTGTTTCCCAAGCCTTGCAGCATGAGCTGCGATGCGGCGCCTCCTTCCCTCGCTCACACAATTAAGGGACAAGACTAAGGGCCGCAGCAGGGACAGGACCGAGGCACTGGGAGCCATACAGACCCAAGCCCCCCTCCCATCCCAGATGCTGAGGACAAACCAGTTCTCTGTGACCAGACATGAGAAAGTGGCCAATGGGCTGATGGGCGACCAGGGGCTCCCCGGTGTCTTCGTGCTCTACGAGCTCTCGCCCATGATGGTGAAGCTGACGGAGAAGCACAGGTGAGGTGGGGGGAGAGGCGAACTGCCTGCAGGGGCCTGGAGTACCCACTGATGCCACCTACTCCCTCTGCCAGGTCCTTCACGCACTTCCTGACAGGCGTCTGTGCCATCATCGGAGGAATGTTTACAGGTAAGCACAAGAGCATCTGACGGAGGATGCTGGGGTGCGGATCCCAAGATGTGGGGGTGGAGAGAGACCACTGATACCTCGAGAGCCAAAGGGAGACGCTGGCCTGGCCAATAGGGCGGCAGGGCCCTTGAGATCCAGCCAAGCCGTTTGCCTCCCTCCTCAGTGGCTGGACTCATCGATTCGCTGATCTACCACTCGGCACGAGCCATCCAGAAGAAAATCGATCTAGGCAAGACAACGTAGTTGCCCCTGCCCCTCCTGTTGTTCCCTTTTTTTTTCTCTTTGTCCTTGTGGTCATTTTCCCTAGCCTCTGCCACCACTCATCCTTGGCCCCAGGTTAATAAATCTATTGGTTGTGATAATACTCCCTGGTCTCCATGTGGTCTTTGGGATTCCAGCCGCCAGTGGTCTGGCTGGGACCTGGGGCTAACCCTCAGCCCAGCCACCAGGAATACAGTTGTGACGCCACATCTGCGCCCAGCTGTCCTCTAGGAGCCCCTCCTGGACACCCCCTAGAGGACTTTATCTAATCCTGCTGTGGCCCGGTTTACTCCCTTTCCTTACTCTGGTTTCTGTTCAAATGTCACCTTTTCATAGGCCCTTGCCTAGCCACTCATATAAACAGTGCCCATGCTCTCTCCATCTGTGTACTCTGTTGTATTTGTACATCTGTCCCCCTAAAGAGAAAGGAATAAAGAGCAGCAGCTTCCTTTTGATTATCACTGTATCCTCGGAGTCTGACACTTGGTAGATATTCAAAAATCTATTTGTTAGGTACAATAAAGTTATTTTTGAGATAGGATATTTTGGGCCCATTTTGACCCTCAAAGATTTTTTTTAAACTTTGTATGATAGAAGAATCTCAAAAACATAGAACACTGAAATAAACGGTGCAGGTTACGGAGTTCATGGCAGTGAGGGTGAAAGACGGAAGCACCTAGAACATGTTTCCTCGCTTAGTGTCATGATGTGGTAATTAGGGGCCAGTTGACGGTGCAGGAGAGACGGTGGGCAACAGCAGAGCTCAGTACTCCAGCAGATGGGCAGCAATGAAATCAGATCGTGGTTTAGGAGCACACAGAGGGGTAGAAATGCTTCCTCCTGCAGCCAGTAGAGAGGAGCGCACGTAGCTGCAGGTGCAGCAAGAAGTCAGATTGAATGAAAAAGAGATAAGGCTTCTCTTTTCTCCTTAGGTAGGAGAGAAGGCCATTACCTGGACGCCTGGAGGGGATGGGGTGAGGGAAAAGCTAAAAAGCCTCTTGGCGCATGGGAAAGGGAGTATATTGGAAATTGAAGGCAACAGAGGCACTTAAAGATCTGGGGTGGCCTAACGACCAATCATCTCCATCTGCATCCCTCCTCCCAACTCCCTGGATATGGGCCACCAACACCTGCAAGTGTTGAGCAAACACAATTTCAAGGCGCCCTCGGGTCCAAACAGCCACCTCCTAGAGTTGACACAGGGAGACAGAGATGGGCAACCAGGAGAGGGGTGCTCTCAGCTCACCTGCTCCCAGCCACCAGTTCTTCTAGAGCCTGTTTGAGTCGCGCACACGCAGGCTACGGGTCCAGGCCTGCGCTGCAATGTCTCTGTCTCCTATAGTCCCTGGTCCTGTGGAACCCGAGAGAGAGCGAGCAGGTGAGGGCGTAGAGTCTGGAGGGTGGAGGTGGGATCTCCTTTAGACCATGCCCCTATTCAAGGCCCTGTCCTACTTTGGCTCCTTGGGGTTCCTGGCTCCACTTTTCTTGACCCCTACTGGCTCCACCTCTGCAGGGCTCAGCCCACAATAGCCCGGCCCTTCTCCTTTGATGGTCCCTTCTGAGGACATAGCCAAAGTAAGGGAGACAAAGTCTCGCCCCCCCTCACTTCTAAACATCTTTCTGGTTGTACTTCCTCCAAGGGGGGACACATTCCTCCTTCTGGCAGTCCATCATAGCGTTGATATTCTTTGCCAACCCCTTAATTCAAATGCGCCCAAGAACAGGCCACTGGCCAGATGCTCCTTGGGCCTTGCCCCTTCTCTTCGCACCTCCCTCCTCTTGGACTCTTGGGCTCCGCCCAGTCCTCACCAGCCTCGCGGCCACTTTGCCCACACTATTGCTGCTCCGTAGGCGCCATGTGTGGTCCTCCCATCGGCTCCAGACGCTTATGCAGGGCTTGCTGTGACGTAAGGGCAAGCAGAAGTAGGGCCTGGGCAGGCAGAGGGGAGTGGAAGCTGCGGGAGACCGTCTGGGGCCCTAACCCCCGGACATCCCTGCGCTGTCCTCCCAGTCACCGAGAGACTCACCCACTGCCGTCCATAGGCTCTGGCCGCTGAGCTGGTGTCCTCAGCTCCTCCTCAGGCTCAGGCTGCAGTCAGACTCCAGCAGGGGCTCCCTCAGACACAGCCCCTTCCACTCCCTCCTGGCCCTGAGACCCGGGCCCACGTGCTCCTCCCGGCAGCCTGCACAACCTGGCCAGCGCCAGGAAAGGCCTTTGAGAGCCCTTCCGAGCGTCCAACTGCTCCCTCAACCTTTTTTGCCTCAATCGGGGTCAGAATCCACCCCACACTGAGAGCCAACAGCCCCCTCCAGGTGCCCAAGATCTGATGCAAAGTGACCACCCGCAGACCCATGACGTCAGGCTAGGTGGCACACCGATGGAGATCGCAGAGCTGATGGGCTGGGAGACCACAGCCTGGTCTATCATGGTGGCCTCGAAGAGCACCCCGAAGAGCAGGAAATCTTCGCAGGGCGCCAAGGCGTTCTGGGAAAAGTGAGGCAGGTGGCATCCCCCGTTGTCCCCACTCCCCACCACCACCAGGAAGAAAGTAACCGCAGGGATCCCCCCTTCCTCTCTCCCTTCCTCTCTCCCCCTTCTAGCACCTACTCTCTGGACCTGGGTCTGGTCCTCTCTGGTCCACCTTGATCAGTCTATCTGTCTGCGCCTCTCTCTCACATACACACATACACACACACACACACACACACACACGCACGCACACACGCACGCACATATACACACACAAACACACAAGATCAAGTGTACACACAGCCGTGGTTTTTAGTGTCTGGAAGCCGAATACAACCTCCAGAGGAAATGGTTCTTCCTCCCAAGTGTGTGAGCTAGGGGTGACCCCAAGCCCTTGGCCAGGTCCCAGTTTTCACCTCGGGCAGCGGCAGAAACTCGTCCACTTCCACCTCCATAGCACTAGGAACCTCAGGAGCCTGCGGAGCCTGGCCAGCCTGGCCCCGCCTGGCTTTCTTCTTCTTCTTCCCTGCGAGCAGGGGGAACCTGGACACCCCCTGGGGAGCTTGGGGGGGCTCGGATTCAGCTCTCCCTTCATACACCTCCACGGACACAGCCACTAACAGGTGGCCGCGAAACCAAACGCCCTGGCCAAGGCCTTCCTTGAGATTTTGGAGAGTCGTGGAGCCCGGAGCTGGGCGGTGAGCCATAGGGGGGACCCAGGCCGGGCCGAAGGTGGGGTTAAACCCCGCTGTGGGCGCGAGAACAGTGCTTTAGAAGGCAGCTCGGGCAGGTGGGAGCTAGGTCTGAGCACCACACCCTGGCTCCGCCCGTTTCCGGGTGGCAGGGGCATTGGCGCCCAGTGGGGTCCCCGCCAAAACCGCCGGGGGGCCGGGCCGGGTTCCGCCGGGCCCGCCGCCGGAAGGCCGGGCTAGAGGATTTCGTCCCCGCGGCCAAGCTGATGGCCGGGTTTGTTACCTGGGAGCACCAGGTGAGGCAGGGAAGGACGCTTCAGGTCCAGCACGTGCGTGGCGAGGGTCACCTCGAGCAGGGGCGCGTCGTCCCGCAGCTGCAGCCGGAGGCCCCGCGTCAGCGGCGGGAAGAGCTCCACGAAGCTCAGCTGTTGTTCCACTCCGGCGCCGCGGCCTCGGCGCGCACCGACGCCTCCCCCTGCGGAGCGCGCAGAAGACAGGCCAGCCGAGCGCCATCAGCCGCGGACCGGACTGCAGCCCCCCACCCCACGGCGGGGTTCAGACGGAGCACTCACTTGCTGCCCCAGGAAAGACACCCGGACGTAGGGGTCAGTGAGGACGCGCTGGTCGTGCAGCGCGCGGACCAGGCTGCCCAGCAGCCCCCGGCGCAGCGAGGGCAGCCCCTCCGTGCGGTACATGCGCACGCACAGCCGTGCCCAGGGCCTGGTCTGGGCACCCGGCGTGGCAGGAGCAGATTCCTAAGGGAAAGGGGGTTGAGGGAGGTAAGGAGCCACGCAGCTCCCAGGCCAAGGGATGGCCGAACCCCTGGCCCGCCCCAGCCCCCACCCCCTAGCTCACTTCTCCGTGTCCTAACTGTGCCCCCGGCCCAGGGGTGAGAGCCGAGGGGGCAGGTCCCCGCGCGTCCTCACTGACAAGGTGACCTTGACGAAACCCTTGATCCCAGCGCGGGTGTCCCGGGGGTCGTACAGCGGAGCCCATTTCTGGTAGAAGTGGCCATCTGGGGACGGAAGGGAAAGGGGCGGCCCGCGGATCTACAGAGAGGACCCGGACTGTATGGGAGAGGGGCGACCCTCCATACAGTCCAGGGTACATACGGAGATCAGCCTGCGGCAAAGTACTTTGTGATTAGAGATCCAGACTGAGACCTGGATCGGGTCAGTGCCCTGAGGGTCGTGTACCTGGGTGGTCGAGAACGATGCCTAGGTCCATCCTGAAGGTGCCTATCCTGGTGGCCATGAAGGGAAGGGCCTGCGAATGGAACGCCTGGGAGGTGCAGGTTAGTCCTGGAACTTCAGCGCAGGCCCCTCACTTCTCCGAAGGAAACACCTCACCCCTCACCCCCACACCCCCACCTCCTCACCGTGATCTCCAGCAGCAAGTGTTGGAGGTGAACCCGGGTCTCATGAAATTCGAACAGGAAGTACTAGGTTGAAGAGGGGAGACCAAGGTGAAAGAAGGTTCAGTGTTAGGCATTAACGCCAGCTTGGGCCACCCCCACCCCCACCCGCCCACCTGCTCTTTGCAATGAGAACCCTTAACCCCTCTCCCTTAGCTCCTGGATCCCAACCAGACCGATTGCCAGGGACACTTACTGACCCTGTAGAGTTTCAAAAGACTTTAAATCTGTGTGGGAGCTCACAGCCTCACCTTTCTCCCTGGGGGTGGCTGGTGGATTTGAACAGCTGACTTTGAGGTTAACAGCCTAGTGCCTAAACTACAGGGCTTCTAGGGTTCCTTTTGGCCTGGATAGACCCTGCCAAGCCTGAGGAGTCCTGGGGGCACAGTGGTTACATGTTGGGCTGCTAATAGCAAGGTCAGCAGTTCTAAAGCACCAGCCAATCCTTGGGTGAAAGAGGAGGTTTTCTACTCCTGTAAAGAGTTACAGTCTCAGGAGCCCTGGTGGCTTGGTGTTGACACATTGGG